GCCGGTTGAGCTATAGGCGCCGAGCCTGCAATGGGAATTTTAAACAAGAAACTAATGCTTAGGAATAAATTTAATAAAAGACGCACCAAACTACAACTCTGAAAAATATAAAACATCATTGAGAGAAATTACAAAGATCTAAGTAAACAGAATACTCCATGTTCAGAGATTAGAAGACTTACAGGATGGTAATACTTCCAAAATTGATCTAGGCTCAGACTCACTATTATCCCTATCAAAATCCTAGCTGTTTTTTTTTTTTTTTTTTTGCAGGAATTAATCAGTCAATCCTAAAATTTCATAGGAAAATTCAAGGAGCACAGAATAGTCAAAATGATCTTGAAAAAAAAGAACACAGTAGGAGTCCTTGCACTTCCTGATTTCAAAACTTACTACAAAAGCTACCGCAATCAAGACAGAGTGGTATTGGCTTAAGGATAAACTATCAGATCAATGGAATAAAACTGAGAGTCCAGAAATAAACCCTCACTTTTACAGTCAATTGATTTTCAGTAAGGGCGACAAAAGGATTCAATGGGAAAACAACAGTCTTTCCAATAAATGATGCTTGGACAAATAAATGTCCACATGTAAAAGAACGAAGCTAGATGCCTACATCACATCATATACAAAAAATTTACCTCAAAATGGACCAAAAAGTGTTATGAAAATACAGATTTCTTAATCTCCCAATGCTATCCAGATTACCATGAGATTTATAAAGAGGCCAGCAGATTCAAGGTCCCTAACTCCAAATCAACTACCCTAGATGGGCAATAAGAAATCCCTCTAGCTGAGGCAAAAATGTTGGTCTGGGGCCTTAAAAGTGACACTTTAGTACTACTTACAAAAAGGAAAGGGATACAGAAAGATGGGAATTAAGCTAAAATGCATAAAATGATTAAAAATAATAATATATTTTAAATAACATAAAAATGTTAAATCTACATGAAGATGCTATTCTTCAGTTTAAATACAAAATATCATGGAATGTTATACGTTACTTTTTAAAAATTACAACAAGCGCCAATGTTGTTAAATGTTCAGTTCCTCTGCTATTTACCTTGGGACATCTAGCAAAAAAACATTATTGAACTTTATTATTTTTATCAAAAATATAATTCAAGAATGATTCTTGATCCTAATTCTTAAATAACTCAGAACATGCCCTGATTTTGAAAATTCAAATATAGGCTGGGCACAGTGGCTCATGCCTATATTCCTAGCACCCTGGGAGGCCAGGGCAGTGGACTGCTTGAGTTCAGGAGTTTGAGACCAGCTAAGCAAAAGGGAGACCCCCATGTCTATTAAAACTAGAAAAACAGCTGGGCGTTAGGGTGGGTGCCTATAGTCCCAGCTACTTGAGAGAGTGAGGCAAGAGGATCTCTCTTTTTTTTGAGACAGAGTCTCACTTGTGGCATCACAGCTCACAGTAACCTCCAGCTCTTGGGCTTAGGTGATTCTCTTGCATCAGACTCCCAAGTAGCTGGGACTACAGGCACCCATCACAATGCCCAGCGACTTTTTTTCTTTCTTTAGAGATGAGGTCTCACTCTGGCTCAGGCTGGTCTCAAACTTGTGAGCTCAGGCAATCCACCCACCTCGGTCTCCCAGAGTGCTAGGATTATAGGTGTGAGGCACCACACCTGGCCATAAGAGGATCTCTTGACCTCAAGAGATTGCCAGTGCTGTGAGCTATGACAATGCCATGGCATGCCACTCTTCCTACTTAGAGGAACAGACTGAGACTCTGTCTCAAAAAAAAAAAAAAAAGAAAGAAATCAAATATAAATTTAGGTTGATAAAAACACTGGGCCAAGGTATATTTATGGGATTTCCTATAAATGTGACTATTCCATTGTCATCTGTTTCTTTCATCATTTTGTAAGAAAGCTGAGTATAAGACGACACAACAGGATAACAGTTTCCATACAGAGTAGAAGTATTCACAGTAGCTCTTGTGACCCTGAATCCCCAAAAGTAGCAAATTTCCAGTTATAACCAAAAACTCACCATACTTTGTAGTGCTTCTAATACAGTGAATCTCTCATGGAAACCATGGCTACCACTCGCAATGTATAGTAACAGTTTTTTCTTATGCTGACAGTTTGATTAAAACTTACAGAGTGCTAAGGGGCTCACACTGAAGAAAAGTACTTTCAATAGCTAAAACTCTAGAGCAATTACTTCTAAAACAGAATAACTGTACTTACATCAATATCCTCTTGGGTGAATTTTTCTGGATCTTCTCCCATCATGTTGGCTAAATGTCTCTTTCCTATGTTGAACTCTTCAATCTGCTTTTTAATAAAATCTTCTGTGTAAGTTTCATGTCTTAGAGCTGCAACCTTTTTCTTTGTTGTTACAACAGTGGTATTTCTTTGCCTTAATATCTAACAAATAAATGGAAAGAAAAGAAAATATTTTAAATTAAACATTGATCTTGCATGCCACTGTCGCTAAATAAAACAGGATACAGGCAGTCTCCAGGTTACAAATGAGATAGGTTCCACAGGTTTGTTCTTAAGTTGAATTTGTATGTAAGCTGAAACAGGTACATTTACCTATTACCTGTAATAGATTCCATTTGTAAGTCTGAGTCATACATTAGTTGTATGTTTGTAACTAGGTGACTTATTGTAATAGCCTCCATTTGTTAAGTTAGATGTAAGATGGATATCTGTAAGTCAAGGACTGCCTATATTCAAGTAGTTGTCTTTTTAATTAATTAATTAATTTATTTAGAGACAAAGCCTCAAGCTGTCGCCCTGGTAGAGTGCCATGGCATCACAACTCACAGCAACCTCCAACTCCTGGGCTCAAGTGAGTCTCCTGCCTCAGCCTCGCAAGTAGCTGGGATTAGAGGCACTAATGCCTGGCTATTTTTTGGTTGCAGCCATCGTTGTTGTTTGGCGGGCCCAGGCTGGATTCGAACCCACCAGCTCAGGTGTATGTGGCTGGTGCCTTAGCTGTTTGAGCCACAGGCACTGAGCGAGTTGTCTTTTTTATTAAGGTTTGTAGTTGACAGGAGTCCAGAAACAAAGTAAAAGGCCAGTTCAAAGAGTTGTTAAGAATTTTTCCCCTACTGAAAAACTTTGTTACAAAGTAGTTTAAATCACTAGCATTTCAACACACTAAAACCAAAAACCTGTAAGTGGTTTGGTACCACCTTATCTATTTTAAACATCCAAATTTAATAATGGTTGTGATATTTGACACACATGGAACAGAGTAAAATGTCACTTCCTTAAAAAGAAGCAAATGCACCTGCAGTCAGAAACCAGCAAGCAGAAGACCAGGGAGCAACGGGCATACACTTGGGTATGCATCTTGTTTAAGGGCAAAAATACAGCCTATCTCTTATGTCTTAAAGGAGTACATTTAGCTTGGCTTGAGACTTTATTCCATGGTCTTACACATACTGACAAAATTAAAAAGTCGTTTCACGAAACACTACGAGGGTTTTTTATCATTAATTTCGTTCAACACACTAAGTGTAAAAATAAGGGCTTTTATATCTTTTTTAAAGCATCAGTAATTACATCATATTGCTACTGCTGGTCCTTTTATGCTGTGGCATTAGGAATTTCCCTCCAAGGCAATAATATTTCACCTTCAATAAAAGGTGAAGAACCAGAAAAATGTTTTCAAATGACAAATTCAGTAGCTAAATGTAACTAGAACAGCTCCTTCTGGTCCTGGCTTTTCTTAAGATTTTATATCTGTGGTTCTAGACCTTCATCCCTGCCCCAACAATTCTAAGATACTTTTCAAGCATTATTCAGACTTCAAAACTGTAATCCTAGCCAGCCACTTATTTCCCTTTTCATAAACATACAAATCTCTCTTACACACACTTCATCCACCAGCACCTGTGAATCCTAAAATTCAGAAGACTTTATAGAAATTTGTCACTATCATTACAACCAAAAATACAAGAAATATAGGACAAGTATTACAGTACCCAATTAATGGTAAAGATTATGTTCTTAAACTCATCCAAATTAAAAGAGTGAAAAAATAGTTTCTTCCTACTTTTTAATGGGTAAGAAAGGAAAATTTAAAATTCTTTGAAACTTTACAGTTTATTTTCCTCAGGAGGGCAAAGAAGAGTCTCTCCTTTTAAATTATTAATCAACAACAACAATAAAGAATGATTAATCAACAATTTATATTTTCGGGCTGCGCCTGTGGCTCTGTGGGTAGGGCGCCTCTGAGGGTGGTGATTTGAACCCGGCCTCGGCCAAACCATAACAAAAAAACATCTGGGCCTTGCGGCCGGTGCCTGTATTCCCAGCTACTTGGGAGGCTGAGGCAAGAGAATCACCTAAGCCGAAGAGCTGGAGGTTGCTATGAGCTATGACGCCACAGCACTCTACTGAGGGCGACAAAATGAGACTCTTTGTCTCTAAAAACAAAACAGAACAATTATATTTTCTTACAATGCTTTGCCAAGAAGTGTTATTGTCAATGAGTAAAGATTGAGCACAGCTTGCTTATGTGTAGCTGGCTCTTTCTGGACACAGTCTGTTTTCACTTCCCTGCTCCCTTTGTTCACAGCCAAGCCCTGCCAACAATTCCCCACCCTGGGAGTTTTATCCTCTTATGTTTTTTATTGTTTTCCAGGGTTTAAAAAAATTTTTTTTTAATTTTTTAAGAAATAGGGTGTTGCCCTGTCACAAGGGCAGGGAGATTATCACAGCTCACTGTAGGACTAGAGGGGTACACCACCATGCTTCACTATTATTTTAAAAGCTTTTTGTGGAGAGGGCGCTAGCTATGTTGCCCAGGCTGGTCTGAAACTCCTGGCCCCAAGTGATCCTCGCACTTCAGCCTCCCAGAGTACTGGGACTACAGGTGTCAGCTACTACACCCAACCTAAATTGTCTCTTTTGAGCAATGGAGAACATTGCTACTCATATTCAAAATGAAGAGAAAATGCCTTTCTGCCCCAAGAATCACAGCAAAGGCATGAATTGGGGGCCAAAAAGTCACAGAGTAGAGGGCATTCTCCCAAATTTACATTGCCAAAAGGATGAGTACATTGCTGGTTTTGTAGATAAAAATAACAAAATGATTTTGTCCACAGCCAAAAGAATCATAATTCAGGTGAGCTCACAATTCAGACAAAATCTTAAAGATACTCTTTTAGGTTAACTACCACAATGCTTTTCATCAGTCACCACCCACCACCCACAGCCCTCTGGAGGACAAATGAACCTCCTAGTGAATATGGCTCCATTTACTGAAGGAAGGAGTTCTGAGGAAGAGCAAGAGCAGGAAGAAGAGTGGGGAGTCCAGTTTGGGGAACGCTGAGTTTGAAATGTTTGATGGACATCCAGGAAACAGATGTCCAGGAGGCAGATGGCTCTCGGAGTGTGCACAGGGGAAAAGTGAACTTGAGAGACAGGTCTGTTAACAACCCACATGGGACAGGATGTTGACTCCATTAGCATAGCCAGGGAAATGGCAAGCATCAGTGTTAGCAGGAGAAATGTCTCTTCTATTAATACTGAATTCATAATATTTGTTAAATTCACAAAGTTTTTACAGCATCATTATCAGGCTAATGAATACATTTATTAAATGTTCAGAATGATTTCAGCAATAAATTCATACAAAAATGTTTACAAAGAAATCCATCATTAACTGGTACAATCCATTAAGTAAGGTGAGGCAAACAGCATGAGAAAACTGTATCTTCAGTTAAAAACACTAAGAATTCCTGGAGAGAATTTACTTTGCCCACTGTTAAGAACAATTTGCAACATGATTTTCTGTAGGTTCTATTTCTAGCTGAAAAGCTATGAGGAGAGAATTTTCCTCAGACTTTGTGTTTACAGAATAGTACAGATATAACTTGATAGATCTGTTTCCTTTTAAAGATAGTCAATGGATCAGACAACTATAATTTCTTTTTTTTTAGAGACAGAGTTTCACTTCACAGCAACCTCCAGCTCCTGGGCTTCGGTAATTCTCTTGCTTCAGCCTCCTGAGTAGCTGGGACTATAGGCTGCCCGGCTGCTTTTTTGTTGCGGTTTGGCTGGGGCCAGGTTTGAACCCACCCTTGGTATATGGGGCCAGCGCCCTACCCACTGAGCCACAGGTGCTGCCCCAGAAAACTATAATTTCAATCAAGCAGGCTATCAAAGCAGCAGACATTCTGAAAGAGCCATGATGTACCATATTTGCCCCAATGCTAGTGTTACAGTACCTTGGTGGTATTATAGCAGTTTGAGTTTCCTTTTAAATTAATTGGATAAAAATGGAACAAAAATGGAACATGATGCTAATTTGATTAGAAAAGAAAAAAGGCTCTGCGCCTGTGGCTCAAAGGGCTAAGGCGCCAGCCACATACACCCGAACTGGCGGGTTCAGATCCAGCCCCAGCCCGCCAAACAATGATGGCTACAACCAAAAAATAGCTGGGCTTTGTGGCGCACGCCTGTAGTCCCAGCTACTTGGGAGGTGGAGGCAGGAGAATCGCTTGAACCCAGGAGGTGGAGGTTGCTGTGAGCTGTGATGCCACAATACTCTACCCAGGGTGACAGCTTGAGGCTCTGTCTCAAAGGAAAAAAAAAAAAGAAAAGAAAAAAAAAAGAAAACAATACTTTGATGAATAAAAAAAGTTAAAGTCAGATTAGAGAACATGTGAATAGAAACAACATAAGGACTCCCAAGAGAAGGATTATGGTAACCTTTTTGAACAGTTATACTGCTATCAATCTCTGGATGGAAGCAAAAGAAATGACTTTGTTTTCCTGAGCAAAAGGGACAATTCTTAGAAGGCTATTAAGAGATCACAGAACTGGCTCAGCGCCTGTGGCTCAAG